CTCTCTCTCTCTCTCTCTCTCTCTCTCTCTCTCTCTCTCTCTCTCTCTCTCTCTCTCTCTCTCCGCCGTTTGCGGTTTCTCTCGACTTCCCTGTCGCGCGTCTCAATCACTTTGGCGCCGCTCTCTGACTTTGTGATCATGAACACGGCTGGACCGTCTCCAATCTCGTGCAAAAGTGTGTGAATCGATCTGTGGACGATTCCAGCAGTTATCACAGGGGTATACCGTGACACCGTGACCGCGATGTTATAAAAATCGTCCGAGATAAGAAAGAGGGAGATAAAGAGAGAAAGAAGAAGTCGTTGCGTCGGGATTGGCATGCTTTTGCAGAAGCGAGTTATCCTCTTTTTTTTCGAAAACGGGCTGATCGAGCAGTGATCGTTTATTCGCTACGTCGTCGACCAAAACGATCGACGCACATCGACACACGATCGAGTTTTTCGCGGGAGATTTCGCGAAACACCGAAGGACCCCTGGTGCGCACCCGATCGCCTTTGGCAAATAATCGCGCGGCGGAAAAAAGCGAAAGCGAACGTCACCGTTGACGAAGCCTGCTCGCTTTATCCGGCAAAAGTGTCAGCACTGATCGTCGAGTTTTACTTGCGCGCGTTATTACATCCGCCTGCTGCGCTTGCCACAATTGTGCATTGGATGTCCACTGCTCCGTTGGAAATAAAATTCACCGAGAGAACTCGGCGATAAAGCTTATCGGAAGGATTGTTACGAATTGTCATAATTTCGTGGAGGACAGCTGGAGACGATAGACTAAATTCTCGACTCGGAGAGGAAATTCAGCGCGCACTCGGGGGATAATAAAAAATTCCCGGCGCAATTTCGTTTCGGTCTCTGAAAGCGGGTTCCGCTCAGGTTTGACTTTAGCGATTGATGCGCTTTCAAGGTCGGCAACATGGAGATCTCGACCAGGAGACGGCGTCTTTGGCAACCGTGGCTCAGTGCCGATAGTCTACGTTTGGTCCGCAAACCGGAAGGTACGTCACAGTAAAGAGTGGTAGAAAATCAACTAGAATCAGAGAAGAAAAATAGAAAGAGAGAAAGAGAGAGTGTCTAAACTAACGTAAATCAATGGAAACAGCACAGGAAAGTTGCAAATCCATCGATTTTGACGATGAATCAAGAAAAAAATCTCGCTACTTTCCGACCATAGCGGGTATCTCTGAGTAGAGATCGCGTGTAGAATGAAGAAAAGAAAAATATACAAAAACAATCCACAGTCGATAGTTACTGTTCCAATTAGTACTTTTCCTTAAGAGGCTGCGTATCATCACGTCGCGTCCGGCAGACAATAAGAGACACATGAACGAGTATAAAATTGTTCCGCGTATCTTTCGTAATTGCGCGAAACTGCGACAAGCGGCAAAAGAAATCGATAATAATTCGTCCCCTGAAGTTACAAATGTTTAATCTCCGAAGTCAGGCTTTGGTATGCAAGTTTTTGTACTCAATTTTTATTCGACTCTTGTCTATTGTTTCAATTTTCTTGATAACATTGAAATTGCATGAACATGTAAATGATCATAAGGTGCTATCTGCGGAAAGAAAATTTCCAAATTGATAGTGAACAAAATTTTGAGTATTCCGTTCGACTGTCGAAAACGTAAGAGTAGCCACTGTTGTCCTATGAGTTGGAGATAAAGGGAAAGAGGGTCTTGTCATGTGCTTCTCGAGTAATTATCAGTGAGACATATCGAGAAGTTAATCGAGGAAACCCTCTTGATCCTCTTTTCCTCCTCTTCCTCCGGTCCATTCATCTTTTCCCAGCTCTATGCGTCCCTAAACCAGTTTCAGCGTCTTCCTGACGATCCTCTCACGGCTATTAGGTACTTCCTGCCCATCCTGGGAACCGAACCCGTTTTTATCGCCCTCCTTCGTCCTTCGTCCACTTTACTTTCCCTTCCTTCTCTCCCTTCCTGTCTCCCGATCATGACGAAGGGTTGTAGATAGGTTGTTAGATAGACTTCTAATTTTAGATATCTTGCCGCGTGGAAATAGGAATAGGTGACCCTCGCAATTTTATAGACGACGATCGATAGCGCAACCAGTAAGGACACTCGTGGAATTCGTATCTCAACCTTTTCCTTGTCGTTGGCTTTGACCTTCGACTCGGAATAATGCCGGCCGGCGTTCTGCGCGTTACTCTTCCGTCTCATTGCCCGACAAAAACGGTCTGTCGTCGTGAGGAAAAACGTGCCGGCGCTTTTTCTGGGGTCTAACACGCACTTTCGCCTCCGCCTATCATCCTTGCGAGTTATCTCACGATGTAAACAGAACCTTCCTCTACGAATTATCTTGGTGGTATTCCGATGGGCGGTTGCACAAGATGTCTGGACTTGAGTGTCCGACCAGTCATGTGTGCACAGAACTCGTTAAACTGAACAGAAAAATTACTTAGCATTCTGTAAATTACTATGTAAATTTTGTAGATATTGACGAAAGAGAATTGGTCAATCGAAACGTGCGCGATGCAATGGGACGAGCTTTGCAGACAATCCAAGGTTGCTTTCCAACAAGTCGACACAAATATCATTCTATCTTTGTTCCACATTTAGTGAGTAACAAAGATAGGAAGATACTTGTGTCTCTTGTTGGAAAGCAACCCAAGTAAACATATCTCGAGATGATCGACTGTTTCCTAACGAGATCCTGATGAACATCTGATGGCAGCGAGAGACAAGTCACACGCTGCTCGCATCGTTGTTTTGCCTGATCGCTGCCATCCAATGCTTGGAAATATTTGACAAATCTGAAACATGATTTCTCTATTCAGTTTAACGAGTCCTACAAGCGACTGATTAAAGGTTGCAACCTTTTTTCTCTGAGTTTTATGACACAGAATGCATCCTATATTTAATAAAAGAATTTTTTTTTGGTAATTCTCAGGAGAAAAATGTTGCTACACTTAATCAGCCGACTGTACATGTGCACGACTTGTCGGACACTTAGGTCCAGATATTCTATATAGTTGGCACGTTATGTCGGAAGTATAAAAGTCGAGTATCATGTATCACAATATCATTTTACCCGAAATGTGTCTTTTTCAAAGAAACGTCTCTCTCGACGTTTCTCCGTTTCTCAAGACAATAATCATTCGCGCTTACATGCGATTACAAATTGCACGACGTGTATTCGGACAATTTGTGAAATGCAACTTAACGTTGTTGCAATAACGTATAAAATTCTATTTATCTCCTCGTTCACAGTGACATTTCTAATATTTCTGTGTATTGCAGAAGGAAGACCAAAGACAACGAATCTGCATCGGAAACCGAGCAGCGCGTGGCGCAAAGAACGCAGGAGGGATCCGATCCAGAGCGAGGCGTTGGATATGTCGGCGGCACGTGTGCACCACAGTAGGCCCAGTGTGATCGTCCCTACCACTCCGCAAGCCGGTAAGCAGCTGTTAATGATGCCGAAAAATCGGAAAGTTTCAGGCTAAAAAAGATGCCACAATCTTACGTTAAATTCAATTTTCAAGCAATGAGGGCGAGAGGAATATTAACGTCGAAAGCAAATTTAAGACCTTTATATTAGATTAGAAAATTCCAAGAGACGGGAAACGGACATGCAGGGAACGGACTTTGAATTTAATTATTTGAAACGGGACACACACGTCGTGTCAGGAATTAAAACGAAACCCGAGTTATCTTCATATGTAATTTTTTTACACAAATATTAAGTGGAATTTTATCATTTAATTAAAAATACAATTTATATCAATGAAATTTTTATTAAGAAAGTAATTGTACTTGACGACACGTTTACATTAGAAAACCCAAAAATCCTCTCGATTACTACTTGAGGGAAGATCACAATTTTATAGAGAATATTGTTTTGGTTTCGTTGCAAATTTCTCGTTCAAATTTCGTTGCATACATCATTCCGTGCCAATATTGAATGTAAAATATGTAAAATAAATTTTACCTACAAATCGCGTCTTCCAACCTTGTGCTGTCCGATAGTTTCAATATTTTTTTTTACCGAACCCCGTCTAACGACGGTTGTCGACCTGATGGTCGTGTCGTTAGGCGTCGTGTCCCGAGACCCTATTGTTCGCGGTTTTTCAGGGGTGCGTTCGATGACAATGCACCACGTTGCACCGGGGTGCAGATGCAGATGCTACTTTCAATAGCAATACAGTTAATCCCAACAAAATGCCGCATTCCTATGTGTTTACAGGCCTTCCTGAAACATAAATCCTCATATTAGTCATAAACGAAATTAACGCGATGACGAATATTCAAATCTCCATCGCGATAAGTATCCACGAGATAATAAGTATCTATTGTAGGAATAAGTCCGGTTCCCATGTTAAAGACACAACATATCGTTTAGAAATATTATAAAAATTGTAGATGAAACACATCGACGTATAATGTAATATAGATGTCTCTAGATTCGATATATTTAAATGTATATGTTAATAATATACTGAAAGTTATATGTGGATTCCTTTTTATATTTGTTATAGATTATAATTAAAAATAATTTAACTTATATCTAAGTTAGTACATTGTTTCAATACCGTTTTCTCAATTATTCTTGATTTTCAATGTTCTTTCCAGGCACCACGATCGAGGACACGGCTGTGACGCCTACTCCAACAGCAACACCGACCGCGGCAGCTGCAGGAGGACGGAGGACCGGCATCAGAAACGTCGATTCAGACTGCGACCCAGCAATCGACGAGCACTTCAAGCGGTCACTGGGTTTAGAGGAGTACGCGGCCGTCTTCAACGCGACCACCAGCGACAAAGAGACTGTCCTGAGCGGTAAGTATGAAATATAAACGTCGAAAATGTTTATCCGTCATCCAAGTATGCGGAGAAGATAGACGCGCTGCAGTTCGGATTCAGCCCGGACGAACTTGTCTTACGCGTTCTTTGCACAGTTGACGCTCACTTCGCGAAAGCGCTCGGTGAGACCTGGACGAGGCTTCAGGCGACCAGTCGAAGCAAGGAATCCACCTAACCATCCGGCAGGCTTGCCAGGAATCTTGTCGTCGTCGTCATCGTCGTCGTTATCCTCGTCTTCGTTTGTCGCTCGGCGATCGTCGCAACCCGTTCGGGTGAAAACGTTCCAGTCTCGCTCGTTAATTACGCACTAGTGATAAGTCATTACCAATAAGAGCTAACCAAGAATACGTGCCCGCATTTCGAACGAGTCGCATCGAGGCGAAGCTGGAATAGAAAAGTTTAAAGAAACATAAAAAATGAACTGTCAGGCGTATACGATCTCGTTATAGTGCAGGTCTGTAGAATTTTTCGAAGATCGCAAATAGCAATAGAGCAACTGGGGTTTGTTGTATCGATTTCTGGTCGAGTTCGTGAAGCATAGTCACATTATATCGGATTCCTCGATATACCGCTGAAAGTACACGCTAGGAAAAAGAATACAAGTCGAAAGGTTAGAAATGACAAGTTGTATTTGATTTAAATATCATTCTCTTTTTAATTAGATCTTCAAACTAATCTCTAGATAAATTAACTCTAGATAAATTAACTAGCTGCTATAAGAATAAAATCGAATGAGAATCTATTCTTTACATTTTCACAAATTTGACTCAAATTGACTTACTTCTGCTCCTCTTTTCGTCCTTTCCATTCTACAAGAATACTTCTTTTTGTGGAATCCATGATTATACGACTTGTGTGTTCTTTCTTCTCGGACAACTTCGTAGATATTTTATTTTAATTGATACATACTGCCGTACGTTGCGCAAGAAGGGTATCAAGTGTCCTTGATCTTCTCGTTTTTCAACTCGATGCTCGTTGTCGTCGCTTTTTCGTCGAAGACACGTATGCAAGAAGGCATCAGGAAGACTGGTCTGCGCGCTGTATTGTGTACGGTGAGTGTACCGTGGGCGAATTTGATATTGTACATAGGCACGTATTCCCGTACTACGACGCCATCGCCAGTCATTATCGTATAGTCCCGAGTTGTGTGTACGGATATAAAATTATTTATTATATAAATTTCCTCGCAAAGCTTGATAAGTTTCGTAAGTTTATACTATGTATACATATGTACGTATATACGTATAGATATCTATGACTCTGTAACACACGTCATAATGATCGTTATCGAGGAATTTTCATCAATAAGACGCGCGAAAGAGAGAGAGAACTGGTAAGATGATTGTATAATTTAATAAGACACAGCACCGCATATTAATATAAATAGCGTATAAATATTACATCTACGTCGTTTATATATATATACATATATATATAACGACTTCAACCGTTTATCTATGAAGATAAACGAAAGGATATATACGAGACACATGAGAAGGATTAAAGGAAATTTCGTTACTTTTGTTTCGTTATTTTCACGCAGTAGAATCAATTTCCGTCCGACTTCCTGATTCCTCGTACACAAGATCATTCCACACATTTAATATGCGAGAACGTATCAAAAATTAAAATCCCCCTCATTTCTTTTGTTCCTCCGACGAATTGCTGAATGCCAAGAAGAGTAGTACTGATTTCGAATGGTGCTAGGAAGTTCAACACATACCCCAGCACACACAGAAGTCAGTACTTCTATCTTCTCACGCGTGCGAAGCTTCGATTATAATAAATTTCTTATTTACTATTGTGATATATGATGTTCGATATACTGGGTGTTTGATATGATTCTCGTATGTCATTTATTTGCACGGAAAACTCAACAAACTTAACGAAAAAGTCATATATTACTTATCAAATAATACAAAAATGAATTTTTGAGATATTAAAATGCGTATATTATAAAATGCGTATATTATAAAATGCGTATATTATAAAATGCGTATATTATAATACTGTCTAGTGTTATAACGCGCCGTCTGTCGTTGTCACGCGATTGTCAACAATTGATTCGGGTATCTTAAATAAGACTCCATTTTAGACGAGCTTGAAAAACTCGTTTTACCGCGTTTTGTCAATTTCCTATAATCAGTATCTCAAAAATTCACGTGGTGACTTGTAAAGCATTACAGGGCTTTTTCGTTCATTTTAATGTGTTCTACCTGCACACGAGAAGATATGCAAGTCACATCAGATATCCTGTGTGATATTTACTGTTATCTTATAATTAACGCAACGTAAATAAACGCAATTAACGTTTACGTTTACATAATCTGGAAGTTCAACTTTCGCAATATTATTGTTTAATGTGTATACAGAGGTATAACAAAGCTCACAGTATTCAACTGTCTTTAGTTTCTCTATATTTTATTAATACTAGACACTTTAATTGTCACTCTCCTGCAAAAGATAGGAGAATTGAAACAAATTAATTAAAACTATCTCGATTTCGTAATTTCGTCGGAAAGAATTTTGTCTATTTCAACTTGCGGCGTCTTACGCGTGGTTCACTCAGAACAAAAACTAATGCGCTTGAAAATTAACAATAACTAAAAATAATTTTAATTAGAAGTGAAATGGAATAAAATATTAAGTGAAAAACGAAAATAGAATAACAATTCTCTCTTTTTGCTTCTGACAACTCTAACACATCGAAAGAGCGCGACTGTTGAAACAGCCTGTAAACAACGGAAACCGGTAAAAATGTGTTACTCGTGACGACAAAAGATGTCCACTGTGTCCAAGCCGCGTGTTGACTGTGAGTATTTCGAGCACGGTGCACTTTTTACGTAATAATGACGTTCCGTGTAAGAAGAGTAAGGAACGTTTATATAACGTCGGGCAAAAGGGTTCGTCGCGCTTCCAGATGATGAGTGAAAACCATCCAAACCAAGCGGGTCGATCTGAAGTCAAGGTAATTACAGCGTGTGTGTTAAGGATACATCGCACATTTGCTAAGCACGTTCATATGAAACTTGGAGTTTCAAAGCATGATTTGAAGGCTTCACATCACTTTCTGCGCGTCACAAATTGACAGAAAACTTTAAAACAGGATTACTGCGAAGCCTTATGAAGTGGCCGTCGAAAGGTCAAGGATCCGCGAAACCACAAGTGTTGGTGGAATCAAAACAAATCACTCGTCAAAATTACAAATTTCTAATCTTCGGAATCAGGGCTTGATATGCAAATATTTTCTATTTGCTCGTACTCTATTTTTGCTTGGTTCCTTTTTATTATTTCAATTTTCCTAGTGAGATTAAAATTGTATGAACATGCACGAATGAAAAAAAATATTCTTTACGGGGAAAAAAAATGTCCAAATTATTCATTTCGAAGATTGGAAATCGACTCACGTCAGAAACGACCTTTGGTCCAATTACTACATACCTCGTCTCATCGCAGAAGACAACGCAATTTCAGTCGATTAAGGAGGGTGACGCCAGACGCCTCGGGGTGAATATAACACGAAGAACAAACACGTGACCTCAGACGAACCTACACGGATGAACACGGGCCAAACTGTCCCAAAAATTCGCACCCTCCCTTGTTCGAATGACAGGACCGTGATTCATCGAGAAAACTCGTACTCGCCGATATTTCGAGGGGGAACAACGCGACTGTGGTATACGTAGGGCTTTCCCCGAGCGGACGAACGAACGTGCGAACGTGCGAGCGAGCGAACGAACGAACGTTGTAATTCGTAGGTGGGCCCAGACAGGCGGGACAGACTGTCCCAGGAGCGCTCGGATGGCTTCCTATATGCAGGCGGCCTGTTCACTTGCCGTAAAGCAAAGTGGTAACTTAATATTAGAGCTGAATATAAGTACGGTAATCCCACACCACAGAGTCCAAAGTAAGTCTACACCTTATATCTCCCTCCCCCTCTTCCTCCTTGTCATCCTGCCTGTCCCCGACCTACCATCCTCCCTCCCCTATCTTCAGTCATCTCCGGACCCCGTTTCGCTCTTACTCGGGGTTCCTCGAGCGTAATAACGCGACAGGATACTAGATATCGGCTGTTGTTTCTGTGCTAGGTACAAATTGCCAACATCTCTATCTTCTTTTTTCTCTCTCCCTCTTTGCTGTAGTCTTGCGTTCTAGTGTCACTTATATCTGCTTTTCATACACTCCTTTTCACCCCGTACACGCTTCCACGCACAACGGCGGTTCTGTCTTTATTCCCAACGCGGTCTGGTGCGACTGTACTTTGAAAAAAAACCCCTCCGCGACGATAGAGTCAGTTTTGCAAAAATTTGCAGGATCATCGGACATAGGTAGAAGTAATTGTATGGTGTTAATTAGGTACAGTGGGTTGCAAAACGGTTTAGACATGACGAACTTGGAAGCTCGCCAAACTGTCAAAATTCTTAATGACTTGTCCGTCATTATCGACGGACTTACGCAATACTAATGTAAAATTAATAATACAATTAAGGGCATTAAATAATAACAATACAATAATAACAATAGTAATAATTGATAATAATAATTACTAATATAATTGCTGTACAATATTCGTCGCCAATAGCGACCCTCTACTTTGACAATTTGGTGAACTTCTAACTTCAACGTGTCTGAACCGATAATTGTGTATACTTCATCGGTACAGAAATAGCAGCGTTATATTGCGTAATTATACTCAACTGGCGGTTTATGTAATCGTGGATTTTTCATCATCAACGAAAGCGATATCTTAGATTCTTCGCGGAAATAAACAAGCTGAAAAAACTAAGTTGTCTCATTTATTCTTTCTTCTCTGAGTGATTTGCGACGAAATGCGAGACAGGTGTCCTCAAAGTGCAGCGGCCTTCGGGCTAAGGCCAACTGCATTATCATCTACACATTTTTTTATGCATCTCTTCTGCGCACTATTTAATAACGTTATGAGACACAGATTTTTTTTTTAATATCCTTGGCCGAAGCTCGTTTCAGAGATAAAACAGTTTCTAGAAATTTGTATGTTTTTAAAGATCTTAAAAAATTGCGAAAAAAGTAAATAGTAAGAATTGTTATTATTTTTCTGATTTATTAAAGCAATATATAGTAAGCGTCCGGGAAGTATATATTTGCAAAAATCTTAGATATCAATTTTTTTCTCAAATAATTTCCAAATAACTTTTTAAATAGGCATCCCTTTTTTCAATAACAGAGAATACGATCATTTCATATTCTCTGTTCACCGTTTAAGTCGTTGTCAGGTAAGGGATAGGTAAATGTGGGGTAGACTTTTGAGTTGCGTCATCCCGTCATAATCTATAATTAATTGAGGTGAGTTTCCTGAGGGCACATAGCGCAGCTGGAAATGGGCCAGTAGATCGCAGGACAGATGCTCGCGTTCGAACATTTCCCGACAACGCGCAGGTGTCTCGTCTCGGTAAGGTATATTGGCCGTAGGGCTGTCGAGCGAATCCAAATTTCATGTTTATTTGAACGAATATTATTTTTTTTTTCGTGGTTTACGTTAATATTAGAACGGAGAAGAAAATACGCTTATATAAAATAGAGTGCACTGAAAGAAAGAAAATTGAACTAAATGAAATTATAGTTAGCCCCAATCATATTTTCGTAATAAAATTATAGTAGTAACATACACATAAAATTATTATCGCTAACATTATTTAACTAAAAAAATTAAAAAAAATACTAATAAAAACTTTAACTAAAAAATAGTTTCCTTTTTTTACCATAATATGTAGTAATTATTACGCTATGTGATTATAGTTACAAATACCAAATATTTTTTGTTAGGGTGGAAAATAATAGTATAGTCTCGATCATCTTTTGGTTTTATAATACAAGTTGCGTTTATAGTATAAAAATGCATGTAAACTTCGAAATACGACGAGTACACAACATCAAACATTCATAGCACTAAATACTTAAATATTCTAAACTACTTCACGATGTTTCTCTAAGACTTAACTGAATTTTATTTTATTGCGCAAATTATTATTGAAATAAAATAAAATAAATAAAATTGAATATCGTCTGGTCTAAGGGGTCGCTTCGCGAATGAGATACGTCTATGAAATTCTCTCGTTCTCAGTTTCGATCGTAGGAACAAGGGAAATTGTCCACAAATTATGTCCAGACAGTATATTCTTATATAATAAAAAAAGAAAAGAAAAAGAATAAAGCAAGACTGAGTAAGCAAAAAATTTTTAACATAGATGTCAAAACATCAATAATTCCTGTGCCGATTTTTATTAAATAAAAAACTGAGTTCGTTAAAACAAGAAAACTACAAAATCAAATTTATATTTAATTCATTTTGAATACGTGCAGCTAAAAGGAATGGATCTATATCGCACAGATCGATTTTACTTGCCTTTTCAAAAACGTTCTCTTCCGAAATGAAGCTGTCATCGAGATAAAAGTAATCGATTGATCAATGATCGATTACCAATGATTCCGTGGAATAAATAATTCTTCGCTAATGTCTCGTGAAGTGGAGCATTAGCGTG